CTGCACACATCCAACATTGACATGCACTTGCTATCTTTTTTTTATTGCACACTATACAGCAACTGTCTTACTTCATATAAGACTGCAATTAAGTATGAATAAAAAGTACTAAAAGCATGTCTAAAGGGAATATATCTTGGTTTTCTACATATTTCCAGTATTGTTTATGGTTTGAACTAAAACAATTTGGAAGTTCGAAAAATATTTTATTTAGTCAGCTAAATATGACTAAAAGGACTCGTATTATATAGCTCTTTCCCCAGCCAGCAGGTGGAGCTTTCAATTCCTTATCATGTGCTTTCTACCCTCTCCTCACCAGTGTTGTATAAAACCCATTGTTCAAGCAGATTTTTTGTTGTTATTAAGCAGTTCAGAGGTGTTTGCCATAATGTGCTAGTATGCACAGCATATAAGCACATTATGGCCGACTCACCCAGCAAATGATCCCCTCTAGCGCTGCGTGGTCTGCTCTCATCTCCGCTGCCAAGCTCTCCTGCTCTTCCAGGTTTAGAGCCTGCGACCTCATGATTGCACAGGAGTTACATCAAGGTGTCCGGCTAGTGTCTTTAAAAAAAATTGCTGACAGGCAGCTTTTTAATTTGGTAGAAGAGACTTACACAAAAATGCATATCAGCATTATTTTTAAGAAGACACTTTACTTCCACTTTAACAGACAGCTTCCTGATTGGCAGGGAAGCTGGCTCTATGCTCACTCGTCACCAGGGAGCATGGAGCCGGCTTCCTGGCCAATCAGGAAGCCGGGCAGTGTGTAATGACTCACTGCCCAGCTTCCTGAATGTTAATGAGGTAGCATGGAGTCAGCTTCCCAGCCAATCAGGAAGCTGGGCACAGTGTAATGACTCGCTGCCCGGCTTCCTGATTGGTTGGGAAGCTGGCCAATCAGGAAGTCGTGACGCCAAGTCATTACACACCGCCTGGCTTCTTTAATGGGACTTGGTATTGGTATTTGATATCGGCAAGTACCAAAAAAAAAAAAAATGATCGGTACTTGTACTCGATACCGAAAAATTGGTGTGGGTGCATCCCTACTTAAAACAAAAGTTTATTTGCTGCCAGCTTATGCTGCTTCAGATGTCAGTTTACTAGTTCAATTGCGGCCAGCGGCACACTTCAAAACTGTACCTGCCATGGCAGAAATGACTGTGCACTCTTCTGACTTCAATGCCTAGAATTCGTGAAAGAAAGTCAGAGAAATCTCAGAAACCCTTATCGCTATACTTGCTGAGGGTCAGTGACTACAGCTAGCCATGCACTGGTCAAATTTTGACCAGATCCTGCTGACTCAGCTGAGAGTAAAGCATTGTGTAGCACTGAAGACGACTCTCAGGTCGACTTTTCAATTGACTTTTGCCAAAGAAGCCTATCTAGAAATTGTCGGCCAAACAGTGACTGCAGCCATTTAGCTGCAGTCACTGTTCTTGCTTTCTGGCAGCGGCGGGTGCTGGCTAACAGAATACAATAGCTAGTAGGGAAGATTGTCACTGGCCTCTGTACTCAAGCTGACCATACACTCTGCAACTTTTCTCATTCAAGCCTATGGGCAAAACATGAGGGTGCTAGATTCCCCTATCCATGCTCAACAACGTGGAAACAAGCGGGTTTTTTTTTCTCATTCAACCGCAAGGCTAAATGAGAAAAAGAGGACAGCTTTAGAACTGATGCCAGAGACAGCCAAGCAACTAGCACATTCAGGAGTAGTGGTCAGCCATAGCAGCTCTCAGACTCTCAGGCCAGGATTATTGTCATGGCTGTGTGAAGTCTGAGCCCTAATCTGAAATCACCCCTGCTCCCACAGACTGGTTGTCAGAAGAGGTGCTGCTATGCATAGGTATTTTTTTTTGCCATGGAGATAATGGCAGCACCTCCCTAACAACCAGCCTGTTTCAACACGGATGATATGATTCAGATTTTACAAAGCTCTTCTGGTTGGAGTGTTGCAAATCACTACATGCCCCGGCCCCAAAAGCAAATAATGTCACCTTTCCAAAAATGTAGGAGGCCATTGCTGAACTCCGATTTTCATTATGCTAATCCAGAGATTTCAATGCTGAGTCACTAACCTGGAACTAATAAGTGGATTAGGAGTTTTGATTTTACCGGCTGCATGCTTGTTCCAGGCCAACGACTCAAAGTATTGAGACAAGAGAGAGCTGGGCAGCTTCTGCATAATTCTCACTCTAGGTTTCAGTTATTCAAAATCCCCCGGACTGGAAGTTGTCACAGTGAAGTGATTTTAGGAGGCACCGTGTTTCTGTGCCCACAGCAGCAGAATTAGAATGCAACACAAAGTCCATACAAAACTAATTGGAAAAAATAAAATGTAGTCTTCCAGCAGAAGATCGCCCGTGCGGCTCCAGCGCTGACATATCTGCAGCCGGTATACCAACATAAATAGGTGTAATGGGTCTGCAGTGAACCATTAGTGCACGGGTGCCTGCTCTTTATTGTACACGGCCAGACATTCTCAAACACACACACACACACACACACAGGACACAATACAACTTTACTTCGGTTTAATTTCCACGTAGCAAAAAACAACAGAAAGGGAAGAAAGTCTTTCACCATGCCCGGTTTACAAAATAATTGTATATATAAAAAATAGCCACCCCACCCTCAGTGCATGGAGCTTAATGCACGCAAAGCTTTGGCTTTAGAGTATGACATGGCAATAACTTAGAAATGGTGAGTTGAAGAACAAATTGTTACAAAACTAAAGGCTGACTGTACATGATACCTGGAGTAGGCACGGCACTCTAGCTGCAGTGAAACTATACATCCCATGAGGCATTGTAAGACTGACAGCCACGACTCTAGGAGGAAGAGGCATGATGAGATTTGTAGTTTCACCACAGCCGGAGTGCTAAGGTTGCCTACCCCATGCACTATCCAATCTGATAATCACCTTTAGCTCTACCAGCAACGATGTAGTACAAGGATTTGACATTAATTTAATGGATTGTTTAGGCTTGTCCTCCTATAACTTAGTTTTGGTAAAGCTAAAGGAAATTGTACAATCAGATAGTATAATGTAAGGTCGGTTTAAAGCAGAAGTCTGGCTAAACTGTTCTCAACCCTTGCACTGGGGCTGTCTAGGTGCTCGAATAAAAAAAAAAAGTATACTCACTTGATCCTCACAGCTGGCCTGCTCAAAAAAAAACGGTCCCTGGAGCCTCTCACCCCCTCTGCTCCAGCTGTCTAAGGTTCCCGAGTCATCACGTTCTATGCACAGTGTATAGATTAGAATGCGAGGATGCCGATGGACATACCATCATTGCAGTGGAGGAGGAGACAGGCTGGAGGGAGCGCTGTCACAACCTGCCGGCTCTGCGGTTCAGAATATAACTTTTTTATTTTAGCACCTAGACAAAAAACAAGCACTCAATCCTTGCAGTGCAGGGGTAGCGGCAGTGCAAGGGTTAAGAACAGTTTAGCCTGGACATCCGCATTAAGTACCAAAGGATATGGATGATCTTCTTACCCAAAACAGTTTTAGCACATGTGCCTGAGATCATCGAATATCTTGAAGACTTCTAAACAAGAGATTAATATAGGGGCTGCAAATGCTCACTCCTTCTGAAAATTCAGATTTCCTGGCCGTCAAGGTTTTGAAGCCAGATTGGCAGGACAACCAGGTAATCAGCACTCTCAGTGGAGGTCAGCAATGGCACCCAACATTTCTCTCAGGACCGATTCCTGTTAGAGAATCGTTAACAAAGTTACAGGTTCCACTTTCTTTCAGTTTCTAAAAAAAAAAAAGGTTTAAAATAAACTCAAGTTGCCAAGGGAGAATTGACACCTGTTTCAAGAGACGAAAAGGAGGAAAGTTAGAGAAACCTGTAACTGGATACAGCAATTGTTTGACAAGAAGGACGCGGTACAGCATGGCAATGAAATAACTTTTACTGGTGACTTTGTCCCATTATGCCTGTGCAGACATTCAAGTTACTTGTTTCATATTCAGCTTTAGTTTCCTCCTTAGAGAACCTTCAGTTACAGACGACTAAAGCAAGATGAAATAAAGCAAATTTAAAGATCCGGTCAATACTATAGGAGGAGAGTTACTCTAAGTAATCATGAACATAAGCTTCCACAAACACTACAACCCCAGAAAGGTAGGTACTGGCTCTAGTTATGTCTTGGTGTTTTTGGCTCCTTTTATTTGTAAGTTCTAATGGTAAGGAATGCCTATGTTAGAAAAAGCATGTAGGCTGTCACTGCTGACCTCTCTCTCTGAACATGCTAGCTCACTGGCTGCCAGGGCTTCAATAACTAAGGTCCAGCATGCACATTCTATGTTTTAACTTCAATTTGACCATTGGCTGCATGCCTAACTCAGATAAGTATTGAAGGTACAGGTATCAGCATGACTGCCAGGCAACCAGCATTTTTCAGAAGTGATTTAGCAGTGACAACCCTCAAAAGTTTCTCAGCACAAGTTTCCTTAGTGTACATAATCATTCTACAAATACATATCCAATGGCAACAAGCAAAGTTTAAACTTCCCACCAAGCTTAAAATGACACTAAACTCTGGAGTTAAATCTTAAAAATACATTCAAGTACCTGAACTATTAACAAAACTGGATCTTATTTGTGTATCGCTCAGCTGTAGATCCTCAAAGCATCTCTGAATTAGTGCCGACACTGTCCTTCCTTCTGGAGGCTGGCTACTTTAATTCTCCATGGTCCCTGTGTGTGTTGTAATGTACCCACTGCTCCATGCTCACTCCTGTGATGGACTACAATCTCAATGGTAAACTAAATGTGAGATTGTAGTGCATCATGGGAGCGAGCTTGGAGAGGGGACTACTTAACAAGACATACAAGGACAATGGAAAACTAAAGTAGCCACCCTCCAGAAGGAAGGTCAGCACCAATTCAGAGATGATTTGAGGATTTACAGCCGAGTGATACACAAATAAGATCCAGTTTTGTTAATAGCTCGGGTACTTGAATGTATTTTTAAGGTTTAACTCCTGCGTGTAGTGTCACTTTAAAAGGACACTTGAAAACCCTGCAGAGGCATAATGGAAAAGACCAGTATTTATGTTTAAAATATTGCTGTCCTGCCTTACAATCACATTTTGGCAATAATAAAATAGAATAGGATGGTTTTAGTTAATGGAATGTCAGAAAAGTAAATTGAACGGAAAGAAGAGAAAACATGAAATATACTCAATTTAAAAAAGGAGAATGAACTGAAAGTCCACGTTTGCAGCATGTAAACGGTTTTCACAATCTTAGTTGGCATATTCCTCATCTAGAACCTCATTTGTGATCTTTAAACCTTCGGTAGGTGAAGTGCAACAGGACCAGCAGTAACATCTCTGAAGTTCCGCTCAAAGCCACCAAGAATGGCGCCTGAGAAGAAAGATCGGCCTCGGCACGTTGGAAGGAGAGCTGGAGAACAGCCAAGGCCAAAAGGCTGTTCTGTACCCCAACTTCAATGCTAACCGTCCGACGTTGGGGTATGGGTAAATGCAGAATGTACGCAAGTAGATATCCAGTCAGGAGTCCCACCAGCGGCACGCTGACCCCAGCTACCACCAGTATGGGTTGCACTTTGTTCAACAGGGAGGACCCCATCTGATAGGCCATAATCAAGCCTCCAATCATTAGCACAACACTGAAAGGTTTTATAACCATCAGGAGGAGACGGGACACTTGGGGAAAGCGCCATTTGATCACCATTCCTGTGGAAATTGGCACGGCTATAAAAAGCAGTGTAGCTAAAATCTTCAGAAAAGGAATGTGCAGTGTTTGGTGTACACCAAGGAACCATCCATAAAGCGAGGAGGAAAGAGGCATAAGGCCCACAGCCACCACTGTGGAAACCAATGTCATAGATATGGCCACAGTAACATCTCCACCCAACAGGAGACTGTATAGATACCCACCACCGCCTCCTGGAGAGGAGCAGGTGACCACCAGGCCCAGTGCCAAGGGCAGCGAGAGTCCCAAAAGCAAGGAGAGGATGTATGCATATAGAGGCATCAGAACAAATTGCCCCACAATGCCTAGGAGGACTGGGTGGGGGTGCTTTGTTAAACCTTTTAGAACCTCAAGGTCCACTTTACATCCAAAGGCACATTTGTTAATGAAGATGAGGGGCAGGAGTGCATAGAGCAGAGGACTCTCAGAAAAGTGGCTTGCAGCAAATCCTGTATATTCTGGAGCTTCATCGTTGGCGACAACATGAATGGAGAAGTCATCACGCTCTTCAATGACAGAACCGAGGAGGTGCAGTCTAAGGTGAAGAGGTGCCATGCCAGGCATCCCTGACCAAATATGTGCCAGGAACTTGCCCGGTAGGCCACCAGAACTACGACTCACATTGAGAACCTGCAGCACCGATGTGTCCAAGGACTTCACGCTAAGGTTGTAAGTAGGAGCGGCAGCCCCAGTGCTGATGACAATGACACCCTTACTATGCTCCGGAAAGTCAAACTGCAGGCAGCAACCATCTCCGATTTGCAGAAATGCCGCTGACGAAGGGGTAGGTGGTGAGACCGATAAGGATCTGTAGGTGGGAGGGACAGATGTGATTAGGATGTGTGATGAGTTCAAGGGTTGACCAGCACTAGGGAAAAGGGAATCTGACACTTGCTCTGAACCATTGATGGGCAGAGAGGATGTGGCCGACAGCACAAAACCAAAAAAAAGGAACACAAAATACTGCATTGTGCATGACAGAAGTAAAGGTCTCAGTCCACACTGTCACACTCCATAAGTGTCCGGCTTGTCCCCAAATATCACCTCACGGATAATGTTCCTGGTAACATCATTCAGAACAATGGATGGAATGCCAAACTCCAGACCGCAACCCACCACTTGCAGTTTCTACCGTTTGTCAAGCATGTATGTGGGGGGTCATGTGGTACGTCCCGGGTGTCTCCCAAGGAACCCCTGCCAGCCCAATGTTCCTCTTGACGCAGCAGGGTGTGTGTCACATGTAGAGTGTGCGTGTGTCTCTGAATCTTACCGGGTGACACTCATAACACCTCACTGGAGTCTCTTGGCTCTCAAGATTTTTTAGGTGCCAGGAGTTTGTCCTTTATGTCAGAGGTTGCAAGGTGTCTCTCACCGTCTGAAGGCTGTCATTCGCAATCTGCAAAATGGTTGTGAAGTCCACAGTGTAAAATGTAGTTTGTTTCATGCAGCCTGCACATTGTCTGTCACTGCTTGTAGGATGTCTCTCACAGGGTGCGGGCTCTCTCACTGTCTGCGGGCTGCCTTGCAGTTTGGTGCCTGCCTTTTCCAGGCTATCTCGCAGTTTGGTGCCTGCCTTTTCCAGGCTCTTTCCTCTCATAGACTAGAGTGTCGGTTCCCGCTCAGTGTAAGGCGGTTGGGGGGAGGGTCAAGGCGTTAGTTGCCCGTAGGTCCCCTCTGCTTTTCCGGGCCGGTTCGCGCTCCCTCCTCTTCTTCCTCCTCCGGCGTTCGTCCAGTCACTGCGCTGACCTGTCGCCACACAACAGCTGATTTCCAGCACAACAGGCTCTGCTTTCCTGGTTATCACGTCACTCGCACAGGCGTGCCCAGGGCCACCCCCGGCTCACTTCCGCATTCCCGGCGTGTCAGCGCGCGGTGCGCACTGGTAGTTGTAGTTCTCAGCGGCGTGGCGTGACGTTTGAAGCAGGGAATTCCGGAAGAAGAAGTTTGTAGAACAGTCACGTGCACCAAACAGCAATAAAAGTAATTTGCATTAGCCCAGGGGCAGCTTTTGGGTGCATTAAACTTGCGGGGCAGGACACGGCTGCTTTATGTAGCGACGTTTATAATGTTTTGCAATCATCAACATTAAGTGTACTTTGATAGGTGTATGCATAAAGCTGAACTCCAGCCTTCCCTTTTTTTCCCTCCACACTAGCAAGTCCTCTCCTATGTTCAAAATATAATTGCTCTCAATTCCCTGCAAACTTGCATCTTCACAATAACCCTTTAACCGCTTGAAGACCGGGGTGTTTCACCCCCTTCCTGGCCAGGCCATTTTTCAGTATTCAGCGCTGCGGTACTTTGACTGACGTTTATTCCGTCATGCAACGCTGTACTGATACGAATTTCATACCATTTTTTGGGGACACATAGAGCTTTCTTATGATGGTATTTAATCACCACTGGTGTTTTTATTTTTTACTATATAACAAAAAAAAGTACCCTAAATTGTGAAAAAAAACATGTTTCCCTATAAAATTTTATGAAACATTTATTTTCACCCCAATTTTTTGGTATAATATAAAAGACGGGGTCACGTCGGGTAAATAGACACTAAACAAGTCAACCTTTAAAAATGCGCGCGCCCGCAAAATCGCAGAAAACGACCGCAACCAAAATTGGCCATAGGCGACACTTTAAACGTTTTTACCGCTCATCAGTTTAGTGTTATCAGTGATTGATGGCCCTAAAATTATTGCTCTCACTCCGACCTTCGCGCCGATATGTAACATGTGCTGCATAATGGGCGCAATCGTCATTTTCGTACATAGGCGCACCCGACGCATGTTTGCATGTGGCTGGGGCGGGGGACTTTAAAACATTTTTTGTGTTTTTTTTTATTATTATTTGTGAATATTTTTTTTACCTTCTTTATTTTTTTAATGCTGTAATTTTTTTTTTTTTTACTTTTTTTACACAACTTTATTGCTATAACATAGGGGATTAAGAAATCCCCTATGTAATAGCCAGTTCACCAAACAGGTCCTCTTTATGGAGACATCAGGGGTCTCCAAGACCTCTGATGTCACCTGGGGACCCCCACAGAAGCTGATGAAGCAGAGATCTTCTCTCCGGTGTTTTGCACTGGAGAGTGACACTGAATGCAGGAAGTGATGTAATATACATCACTTCCTGCATTCGGGGACAGGAAGAGAGATCAAAAGGGAAATCTTAAGACGCCCTGCCGCTTCTAGCAGACTTCCGTCCGGCCGTTCACAAACGGCTATGGACGGAAGGTGGTTAAAGAAGAAAAAGTTTTAACCTCACACTGCAAGGGTTAAGTGCTCAATTTGGTCTAGGGGCCAGAATACAGACCATGTAATCTCCCAATCCTCAGTCCTGTCAGTGCTCACTCTTTCACCCTCCAGTCCTGCTGTGGTAGGTCCCTCAGTGTCCTCACATCTAAGGCTAGGTTCACTCCTGCACTACACCCAGGATGCGCGTCCCGCAGGGGCTGACTGGCAACTTTTAGCCCAGGGGGCAAGTACAACCCAGAGGCCCATGGTGCAGCAACTTGGCCCCCCTCCCACTCTGCCTCTTCCCCCGCCTGCCTGCCAAGACTGTCAGGTGGTCAGTGCGGGCTCTCTGCTGGTCAGTGCGGGCTCCGTGGGGTCTCCCTAATAATCTGTGGTGGCTCTGTGGTAGCTCCCAGGTGGGTAGTGGGGGCTCCACTGTGGCCAGTGGGGGATCCCTGGTGTAGGGTGACCATTTATCTAGAGCTGCAGCTAATTATTTTTTTTCAAAATCGGTTAGCCGATCATTAAGTTCAATTAACCGGTTAATCGGGATTTTAAAAAATGGCTCCAATGATGGACTACTAGTTTGTATTGAGATTGTAGTCCATCACAGGAGCAAGCTTGGAGCGGTGGAAAAAAATAGTGTGGTGTGCAATATAGTGAAATGGAAAGTGTAAAATTATACAGCAATCAATGCAGAATGGCACCAACCAGCTATAGAAGAGTACAACAAATCCCAGCAATACATTATACATACAGTGTATAATGTACTGCTGGGATTTGTATTCCCATGTATAATATACAGCACAATGTACCATCAGCTATAGAGGAATACAAATCCCAGCAATACATTATAGAGCACCATGTGGGCGGGGAGGGAAGTGCAGGCTTACCTGAGCAGTCTTCCAGCTCAGTGCAGCTTCTGAGAAGATATGCTATTAGTGTAGCGAGGAAGCTGGCTGCGCATTTTGCAAAGCACCCGCTACGCTAAATGTCCCCTCATTACAGTCATCGTAAGCCCGCCCCTCAGGGCTTGCGATGATCGAGAGTACGATCTGCCTGTCCAAGATGGGCAGATCGTACGTTTTTTAAGTACTTTACAACCATCGCAAGACTAAGGTCTTGCGATGGTTGTAAAGTGTATGGCCACCTTTACCCTGCAAAGGCTCATTAACACAGGCGCGCATTCTGGTGTAGAGACCTGGAGGGACAGATGCTGCATGTAATTGAGTGCAGCCGCCTTTACATCCCTATGGAAAGACGAGGCTGTATGCAGTTAAACATCTGTGCAGGTCGAGGTGCCTGCACTTGGACGCACACTGTCTGCATCCAAGTGCAGGCACCGGGACCTGCAGGTTCGGGTCAGCGTGTAATCACGTGCAGCCGTGTCCTCCCATAAAGGAGGTACAGGCGGCTGCATGCAATTGCACAGCACACTCATAAGAATGACATCTAACAGTAATCAAGCGGAAAGCTCTCTAACAGAGCCCTAAATAGCAGTAAAAACTAGGGCCACAACCAACTAATCAATAATGAGAATAGTTGACAACTATTCTCATTATCGATTAGTTGGTTGGATCCCCCAGCTCTCTCCTCCACTCTGGGAGGAGTGCACAGCAAACAGTGGGTGGGTGCAATTGCCAGCCTGCTATTGGCTATTGCAATTTGAAATGGCCAATAGCAGGCTAGCTATTGCACCAGCCCACTACCTGCTGTATTTACATTCAACTGCCATCTGCAGACTCTAGCCACTGCCAGCTGTCATTCCGGAGCTGAAGCTATTCAAGCTCCATGTGCTTTCAATACAATTATAAAAAATTAAATAAAAAACATTATAATTATTATAAAAAGGTGGGGGAAAAAGTTACATAGTTACATAGTATTTGAGGTTGAATAAAGACATTAGTCCATCAAGTCCAACCTATTAGGATCTCATTCTAGGAGTACCCGTACCCCTGTATATTACGGTCCCTTAAGAAATCGTCCAAAAGTTTCTTGAACAATTCCACATTATTTGCTGAAATCACCGCCTGTGGCAGTGAGTTCCAGACCCTAACTGATCTTACTGTGAAGAACCCCTTTCGCCCCTTGTGCTGGAATTTTTTTTCCACCAAAAGTAATTTTCTGTTTGACCCTCACAAATTCTGCTGCAGGTGGTGCGTTGCAGTGCCATTCATTTCAATGGCACCCCAACAGGGGTTCCAACCACCCCCACTCTTTACAAGATGAAAAAAATAACATTTGGGCTGGAGTCGCACTTGATTGGTGGTGTTAGCACAGGATTAGTTGACATTCATGTGGAAAAACTTGTGGAACAAGTTGGTTTGTTGAGCACCCATAACTGATTAAATACAAATAGATTTGTTCAGGTTTGGTAACCGTCGACAGACAAAGTTTGCATTGTTTTAATCAACCAGTGCCACACAGTCATGAATAGCATGTGTGCTGTAAAATAAATATTTCCACCTCAGCAAAAAGATTGAACGTTCAAAAATAAGAAACAATGGAGAAGGACAGATGTTTCACTCTTTCCCCAGGCAATAATATTGCTTGGCTTGCTAACCTGCAGATGTGCAGGCATGTATGGCCGTGTTTGGGAACTGTACTCATAAGCATTGTTTAGCAGCAGCAGCCAGGGCTTAGCCCCCCTTTATACCTAAGCTGCTTGTCGTAAATCAGTGCGACAAACAGCTCAACACTAGGAATCCCATTCATGTCTATGACCCTAGTGCACATGTCAGCGTTTTGTCGCAAGCAGAAATATGCCTGTCGCACAAAATACTACAGGAGCTACTTTGGGGCTGATTTCAGTGCTTTTTGTCCCATAGAAAACGCTTGAAAAACGTATTTCGCG